ATCCCCACCCCCTCCCAACTAGCAACCCTCAGTTTTTCCTCTGTCTGAGATTATTTCTGTTTACATTTCTCATTTATTCAGTTTTTTAGATTCCACATATAAGTGAGATCGTATGGTATTTGTCTTTCTCTGACTGACTTATTTCACTTAACATAATGTTATCATTATTTCTTCAAATAAGTTTTCAATTCCTTGCTCTCTCTCCTCTCTGGTACCCATAAGATGTGAATGTTGTTACGTTTGATGTTGTTCCAGAGGCCCCTTAAACTTTCTTTGTTTTTTGGCGTTCCTTTTTTTCTTTTTGCTGTTTTGATTGGGTGTTTGCTACCTTCTAAATCACTGATTCAATCCTCAGCTTCATTTAATCTGTTGAGTCCCTGTAATGTATTCTTTATTTCCATTATTGTATTCTTTATTTCTGACTGGTTCTTTTTTTATGTTTTCTATCTCCATTTTAATGTTTCCTATCTCTTTGTTGAAGTTCTCCTTGAGATCAATGAACATCCTTATAACCAGAGTTTGGAACTTTGCGTGTGGTAGATTGCTTGTCTCCATTTTATTTAGTTCTTTTTCTGGAGCTTTGTTCTGTTCTTTTATTTGGAACTTGTTTCTTTGTATCCTGATTTTGGCTGCCTCCCTGTGTTTGTTTCTATGTATTAGGGCTACTGCGTCTCCCAGCCTTAGTAGAATGGCCTTATTTAGTAGGTGTGCTGTGGGGCTCAGTGGCACAATCCTCCTGGTCACCTGAGCCATGCACGCCAGGTGTGTCCCTTGTGTTGGTTGTGTGTGTCCTCCTCTTGTAGTTGATCCTTGGTTGCTGTTTGCACATCAATAGGAGGGATTGACACTCAGGCTCATTGGTTGAGAGGACTGGCCATGATTACACTGGAGGAGTTGTGATACAGGGGCTGACCCTACAGAGCAGGATCTGTGTCAGCGGGGCATGATGCTTGCCTAATCTGCCCCTTGGTGTGTTATCCTTGGAGGGTGGTGCTCCAACTCATTTCGAAGCTGGCTACTGGGTGCACCAGCCCCAAGACCACCTGGGAGGGGACCCACTGCAGGTAAAGTTCAGTCGCAGCCCCTGTCCCACCCAGGGCCACCCAGCAGGACCCACAAAGCAATCTGCTGATGACTGCTGCCTGTACTGTGCTTGGAAGTGCCTTAAGAGGCCCAGCTGTGAGGGGCCGGCTGAGTGGCTCAGTTGGTTAAGAGCTCACTCAAGAGTGCGAGCTCTGAGCAACAGAGTCGCTGATTCGATTCCCGAACTGAGCTGCTGCTGAGCTGCCAACAGGTGGCAGGATGGCTCAGCTAAAAAAACAAAACAAAGAGGCCCAGCTGTGAATGAAGGCCAGCTGCTGCTAGTGCCAGAGGTACTAGGGCTGCTCAGCCAGAGGTATGGGACATGCTCAAACCAGATGCTGCTTGTTTGGGTTCCATGAACCTTTGGGAGACCCTAGGAAATCTGCAGCATAAGCCAAGGCAGGCGGTTTGTGCAAAAAAAAAGCCACTGGAATCGGCCTGGGTGTGCCCAAAAGTTGGGTGGGGCGGGGTCTCAGAATCACCAGCACGTGGTGAACGAATGACGTCAGCCAGCTGGGTGGAGACTCAAATATGGCAGTCACCTGTGTCTGCATGCTGGGAGGGGTAGGGCTCAACAAAGAAAAAAATGGCTTCTCCCAGCTCCTACATCCAGGAGAAAGCTGCTTCTCCAGCTGTCATCCTGAAGCCAGATGACTGTGTTCCCCTCCCATATGACCCTGTCGCCT